GCAGCTCAGCGAACATTGCATTGGCCAGACACTGACATTAACGTCCCCCCCCCCCTCGGTCGCCGCTTAAACACTCCCCGCTCCCGGCCCGCCGCCAAGCGGCTCCAACTGACACCTCGAGGCAGAAACGTAGGGGCGGGCCGGCGAGACGGAGCATCATTGCACATCACACTCTCCTCAGACTTCTAAGCCATAGAACACTCAGCAACAATCTTTATATCGCGGGTTCGGCCTGCGTGCACGCCCGGACGTCCTCGGACCCGGTCGCTCTCGCCCACCTCCCCCAACATCATCATCAGTGTCATTCTGTTCCACGGCTCGTGGCCACATCACCAGCGGCCCGCCATCGTCCTCGTCGGGTGCACTTGCAGCGTCCTCAGACTCGCCCTCGGGCAGCACACGGCGGCGGAGCTCCTTAACATGCCTCGGCACGCCGCTCACCTCAACACATTGATCAGAGATCACACGAGTCGCCTCACCTTTCTCGTACCTCGTGTCACAGCGCGCGCGGGGCGGCCGAACCTAAACACCGTCCCCGGTACGATACCGATTTTCTGCTCGCTCTGCTTCCCCCCGACATTCCTTGTCCCTGGGACCCTTGCACCCCTGTCCATCCAGCCCCTGCACGCGCACTTTGCAGCGGTACAACAGACTAGCTGGAGCGGAGTCGGCCGTCTCGTCATCCTTCTGAGCCACGTTATACCGATGTACCGCTTCGGCCACGGTACAGCCCTTACGGGCAGCAATCACCTTAATACTACGGTGACATCTTTCGATGATGCCGCTCCCCGACGCGACGTGCGCGCAGAGGAGACGGAGCCGCACCCCCCATCGGGTCACGAAGGCATGAAACCGCCTGCTGCGGAACGCAGGATCATTGTTCACGAGCAGTTCGCTGGGTGCGCCTCGTTCCAAAAAACAGACTCCAGCTCTCCTACCACTGTAGCGCTTGTCTGTAGCCCCAGCAAACGCCAGATAGAAAAACGGCTCGGGCCGCAGTCTATCAAAGTCAGATATGCCCTACCCTGAACATGAGTCAGATCCACTGCCACCCTCTGCCACACCGTGTCCACACTCAGCTCCCCCCTCCGCCACTTCAAATGTGTAGGATCGATCGAGCAGCGCAGTTCACAGTCTGACCCTGCTTCCCTGACCAGACCCTTTCCTACCCCCGGTAGCCCAGGTCTGGCGAAGAACGTCCTCCGGATGTCAGGATGTTCTGCCGTGTGGTGTATTTTCCTGGCCTCCCTCTGGGTGGCATCGGGATCATCGTCTGCAGGAAGGCGCACCTCCACTGCGTCAGCTGCTGCGGCCGCCTCGTTCACTCCCGCGCCGGTCTCGCAGGCCGTGGTCCCAGCTTCAGTGGCGCAGCCAGCCTTTACCCGGGCAGCGATACCAGCGGTGCACTAGTCCGCGGCGCCTGGCGCGCCGGCAAGACTGCCGGCACCGTCTCCATCACCATCACCGCCAATCACATCCGGATGCAGAGAGAGCAGGAGGGTTGGATGCAGAGCGAACGCATCTAACACGAACGTTCAGGTCGTACTCGTCCACCAAAGACTTAAGCGTACAGAGCGTCCTTCGAATCAGCATCTCCGATGCAGCTTTCGATCTCAGACGTGCCCTGCCACTGAGAGCGTCCGTAACCCACTGCAACACCGTGCGAGAGTCTGTGACGCTGTCTATGTCCACGGCTCGCCACTGGAGAGCCGTGTTGATCCACTTCAGCACAGCACCCGGCTCTGAGAGGTTGATGTGAGCCCCATTATCCGGCCGACAAAGCCAGCTGGCATCTTCCACCACTTCTCCATCTACCTCGAGGACCGCACCGAGCGCCAGCGAGCTCGCGTCGGTCCAGACAGCCATCGCATAGCCGCTCACGTCCCGTCGACCGTTAGCCGGGTCGTTGGCCTTCACTCTGGCTATCAGCTCCTCGACCAGCCGCAGCACGTTCATCTCCTCGACGGGATCGTCCCAGCCGTTCGTCACTTCACTGACCAATCGTTTGACGAACGAGGCAGCTGGGCGGAGCCAGCCGCAGACCGGATGGTGGCTGGTCAGCTGCCCGCAGATGGAGAACACCTTTCGCCTCGTCAGTGGCTTTGTCACGTCCTTGATCTGATTGTCTCTGCTCCATTTCAGGCTTCCAGTCGCCCTCCCCCCCAGACCCTCAGTCCGAGGATGCGAGCGCCGTCCTTCGCTCGCTCTGGGGTTTTGCTCTCAAGGCCATGGGTTCGGAGATGCTTGGCCAACTCGGAGGCAGGCAGCTTAGCCTCGTCCACCAGAATGTCATCAACGTATGTCGAAACAGCTGCCGCGACACGCGAGTCCTGTGCCACGGTCATGTCCAGCACCGTTTGAATGATTGACGGCGCAACGTTTAGCCCGAAGCCGAGCCTTCTCAGCGCGAACCTTTTCCCCTGGACCAGACGGTCTGGCACGGCCAGAGGGCCTCCTCCACGTGAATCTGCAGAAACGCTTTCTTCAAGCCCAGCAGCGCCACAGCAGCCCACATTTGTCGCCACCTGAGCAAACGCTCTGCACAAACGTCCGTGTTGGCCGTGAAGGCCGTCACATGGCGATTCTGGGATCTAAAATCCATGACCGGCCGCACTTCCGTCCTTTGCACTACCGCCATCAACGGTATCGATCCCTTGGGCGGACCCAGCTGTCCCTCATCGTACTCACGCAGCCAGCCATCTCTGATCCAATTGTCAAGTTCTGCCTCATACTCGGCGCGCGCCTCCGCCGGCACTGGGTACTCATCCACTGCGCTCAGCAGCTCACTCGGCGGGCTGCCCCCGGACCACTTCCACGACTCCACCCAGCGCAGCAGAATGGGGTCGAATGTCACGCAGAAGTCCTCCTTCTCAGCCCTCAGTTTCCCATTCTGCTGCGGCTCCCCGGCGGCGGCAACACACGCCGCGCCCACTTCTTCACAGACAAACTGTATGTCAGAGGGCGAGCGGACAGTCACTCCACCTAGAGCCTGGACAGCGTCCATCCCCGTCATCATACCAAACCCGAGGGACTTTTCCCTGACCGCCAGGGCGCTCACCTCCACTGCCCGGCAGCCTGGCACAGCGAGCTGAATGTTCCCAGTGCCCGCGCACTCCAGCTACTGGCCGCTTGGTCACCACGTGCACTGTTCGCCTCCGCCACCGACGGCACACGGACCCGTGCACCAGCGTCCGTGTGCACCCAGAGTCAATCAGCACGGTGCGCTGCTCTCCGTCGATTTCCAACTCTCTCACCGGTGGCGCGCCAGCAAGATGCCTCGGTCCCGAGAGGAGGCCGGCGCAGGTGCCTCCTCTCGCTCCCCGTTTGGGCAGCGGGCGGCGATGTGTCCCCATGCCCGATCACGGTAGCACTGAAGGGTGGGTGCGTCACCTCCGCGTGCCGTGGACGGGTGTGAGCCGCCACCTGCAGCCGACTGCCACTGCCCGCCTGCGAAGCGTCGGGCACGTGGGCACTCGCGGGCGATGTGTGTGAACTCCCCGCAGGTCTCTTCGCGTAACACGGCACGGGCCCGGTCCGCAAGTTTGTTCAGGGAAAGCGAATCCATTTGCGCTCCCGCCTTCAACACCTGCTGCACAGCTTCCGGTAGCCCCGTCACAAATGCACAGCACAGGCCACCTTCGCCAAACCTCCCGAACAGGGACGCAAGCTGCTGGAGCTCCGCGAGGAAAACATCTACCGATTCCCCCGCCCCGAGCTTACGATCCATCGTTCATAAGCCGTGAACTTATCTAACTCAAAAGCCCTCTTCAGCGCACCTTTTATCTTCTCTGGATCCTTCCTACCCGCTGCTGGCCACTGCCGGTATACTGACAGCGCACCTCTCTTCAGTCAACGGTATGACGCCTTCCTGTCGCGTCTCCGCTTGCTCTTCATCGCGCCGACAAATCGTGCATATCATCTCCATTTTCTCGATCCACTGCATGACATTTGCCCCGTCCGATCCATCAAACTCAGGTATCAACTTCACGTCGAGTCCCACCATAATGCCGAAATAGCTTGTATTGGTCAGACACTGATATTAACGTCCTCCCCTCTCGGCCGCCGCTCAAACACTCCCCCCCCCCCCTTCCCTCCCGGCCCGCCGCCAAACGGCTCACCTGCACCTCGGGGCAGAAGCGTAGGAGCGGGCCGGCGAGACGGACCATCATTGCACATCACAAGCATCAAAACGACCATGCCACCAGCACCGTGTGTGGCGTGATTCTAGCTGCGCCATGTCATCATGTAAATTGCGCTGTTGGCATGGTGCGGTCTACGGTCGCGTGATGCTGGTCTGTCAACGCCGGCCGCACCCAGCGCAATAGTGACGCACCGCACCAGCAGCGGACGGCAGCGACAGCGAAGAAATCACACGTCTCAGGGAGTAGTTTGAGCGGAGTCACCACATTCTTCCGTAACAAAGATGCAACATTTGGTCGATGAAGCAGGCAGCAGAGCCTATCAGCTAACCCGAAACCGCTCCATCGAGTCCGCCGGCACTGGACGACTCCCGCTGCTACCGGCGCACCAGCCGCGACCGTGGAAGCTCAAAGTCCCGTCACTGAGACAGCAAACATCGCCGGCAGCGCGGCAGTCCCATAGCTGGCGAAAGAATCGCCACCGGCGAGCCACACAAGTCAGCGGGACGCCAGTCCAAACCAGCGAGAAGCCAGGCCCCGTCGACGGGAATCACATACGTCAGCTATACCACAGATGCTGTGGCACACCTTACTTGCAAGCTACTAGAAACACTGACACAAACGCTGCATCCTTGCTTGACGTTCAGATCAAAGTTTGCAACATTATCAAACAGCAACATTAAACACTGCGCCAAACACGATATTTCCGCCGCAAGGTGGTACCGCAGCAGGCGGCGCGGCGGTGCAAGGCCAGACGGCTCCAGTGACGTCATCGCTCTGTACTGAGCGGCTCGGTCTCTCACCAATGAGAAACGCAATGATGACACCCCCTACCACGATCAACAACTGTGATACGGTCCATGGGGGAAGCCGGGAGGATTCGCCGGCGGGACGGTCTGCGGTTTGCAATGAGAGAAATAATTTATTTGCATGACAAGTGGCACGTTTAGATTCAGAAGATAACAGATCAGTCCACCTTGAAGAATTCGTGACAGAATATGGCACGTCCTGTTGATATATTGCCAGAAAATCTGAGGAAGTCGGTGACGGAAGCAAAACTCTTGCTTGTTGGAGCCGGAGGCATTGGTTGTGAGGTGTTGAAGAACCTTGTTCTTTCTGGATTCCAGACAGTGGAAGTGGTATGTTTCACTGCATTAGATGGCTATACATATGCAGTTTCTGATTGTTCCTTTACCTTTATGATGATGAGCTGCGCTAGTACTGCCTGAATGCTTAATGTTAAGATTGCATTGGGAGGAAGCAGAGTGGGTGTTGTACTTCCCTGTGCATGCTGGTAATGATGTGAGGCATGATATGAAGGTTTGGAGCTCCCATGTGATGACAGTCTGATTGGCAAGCCATGGCAGATTTTATGGATGATATTTTGTTGGGGCATCATAGGTGAGGCAAAGTTCTGAGCTGGGTCAGTTTACCAAAATATTGAAGTTGAGATTATTAGATTGTACTATTGAGGACATCATAGTGTGTTTTATGGTAAACCAAATTGGTCAGATAAAATGAGTGAAGTTAATGGTAATTCACTTGGAAAAGTGAGGTAAACAAAATTCTCAGAAATAGGGCAGTTTACTGTCCCATTTTTAGCAACATTCTACAAGTACATTCAGATCATTTCGTTGGCATGTATGCCATGGCTTGCAGACTGAATGATGATTGCTGTCTGCAGGTTTACAGAAAATTTTTGTTGGCTTGCTGATTGCACCTGTCTTCTATATGGCAAACGCCATGATTTAGGCGCAACTACAGCAGTTAGGCCTTAGGTATGACTTGCAATGTGAGGGATGAGCCAGCTGAAATCCCAGTATGAGCAACCATGTAAACCATGTGAACAAGCCGTAAGAATCATAGAAATAGAAATTGAAGATGGGTCTCTCAAAATTGAATTGCTTAGGCCCGTCCAATTCTCTGACGTTTAAGAGTAGAATAATGTTGTTTTTAGACCCATGCAGTACTCTTGACATGCCTTAGTATCATGTAAGTTTCTAACATTGATGTTACGGAAGCCCTGGCTGAATTACTGCGGGATGGGTTGCTATCATTGATGGCTTCTGTGATTTAAAACCTTGATGCCCTCAGAGCCCAGTGCATGAGAAGATTTGATGCATCCAAAATTAAATGCATCATCTTGCACTTATTATATTATGTGTACAGTGTAGACATGTGCAGTTGAGGATATAGGTCATTGATGTGGTGTGATAAAAATTTCAAACAGATAGGTCAGATTGATGAAGATTGTTGCACAGCCAGTCAAAGTAATGTTATGATGTGCTAAATGCTTGGGGAAATATTTCTGGAAGAACACAGGAAGTTTTCAGCAGCTGTCTTGTCCTGTGACACCCAGTATCAAAGCAAACATCTTTTTCATAGCCCATTTCCTCACTCCTAATTCACAAACACTTAAAGCCTTCCTGAAACCAACTATTGGGTCCACATCTGAATGATCAGGCAACAGCATTTTGCTTGCATATTCTTGTATGCCTGGGCACTTACTTAGCAACTGCCCAGTTGCTGTGAGATCAGGTTAAAGTTGTGATGGACATGCAGAATATCCTCCTGTTTTGGACTCCCCTGCTGTTTCCAGCTCAGCACATGGTCTGGTTCTCATTTTCAGATTGACCTGGACACAATTGATGTGAGCAACCTGAATCGGCAGTTCCTGTTCCAGCGACAGCATGTTGGCAAGCCCAAGAGCAAGGTGGCCTGTGAAGCCGCCCTGGGCTTCAATCCCAGTGTGTCGCTCAAGGCACACCATGACAGCATCATGAAGTAAGGAGGCTGAGGGTTGTTAGTGTTGAATTGTGAATGCTGGCTGATGTGTGAAGTTGTGGTGTATCAACACTGTGGCATGAATTTAGGAGACTGTTAGAATATTAGATTTTCTGCCATTATCTTGTGTTATTTCTGCACCATTAGCAGCAGTGCTCAGGCACCTGGCAACTGCTGGAGAAATGCTGAGGAAATGAGGAAACCTGAGGAAACACAAGGAAATACTGTGTTTTGTGAATGGCTGAAGATCACACACATTGCAGGGTTCTGGTCTTTTCCCAGCTGTTGGCTTCTCCATCGCGGCACCTGCCTCCGCCGTCGGCGCGACTGGCCGTCGCCGCCCCACGCTGACCGGGCTCTGCCACCCGCCCTCTTCCAGGCCCGAGTACGGGGTGAACTTCTTCAAGGGCTTCACGCTGGTGCTGAACGCGCTCGACAACCGGGCGGCACGCAGTCACGTGAACCGTCTGTGCCTGGCGGCGCAGGTGCCGCTGGTGGAGAGCGGCACGGCCGGCTACCTCGGCCAGGTCACGGTGAGTGCCCGGCCACGGACCAGCCAGACTCCCGCCCGCGCCCGCCGTCCGACAGTGCATACTCGTGCCGCTCCTCCGCCGGGCGGCATCGCAGCTAGGTGGTGGGACGCGGCGGCGTCAGTGGCGGCTCGCTGCGGGAGGAGGCGGCTGTGCTCAGGCGGTGGTGTGTGCGCGTGTGCGTGCGCGTGTGCGTGTGCGTGTGCCGTGCACCGTGCGCCACACTTGAACGGCTGCTGCCGGGGCTCGTGCTGGACCGTGTCCGTCTCCCGCAGGTGATCAAGAGGGGCGCCACCGAGTGCTACGAGTGCCAGCCAAAGCCGGCGCAGAAGACGTTCCCCGGCTGCACCATCCGCAACACGCCCTCCGAGCCCATTCACTGTATCGTCTGGGCCAAGCACCTCTTCAAGTAAGGCGCTGCTGAATGCAGACACCTACGGAACGAACAGCCGTATTGGGGGGTAAAGGAGCCGTTTACCTGGTGTTGACGGAACTGTCGCCTCGCTGAGTGATGGTCTTGGCCCTAAGTCTTCCTGATGTTGTCAGCTTCAGCATACATCTCGTGACGTACCGGACCAGTCAGCTCACGGCTGCCGACTCTGCTAACAGGAGCTAATTATGATATGCCACGCGTCTGCTGGGCCCGCTACCCCGGTGCAGCGGCACTGTCCGGTGGCGTCCTGCGCTCAGACGTACCGAACGGGGCGCCACCGCTCGCGGCGAGCGCGGCGGCAGGGCCGACTGACCGGGCGCCGCCGGCCTGTTTCAGTCAGCTGTTCGGCGAGGCCGACCCGGACGAGGACGTCTCTCCGGACACGGCCGACCCTGAGCTGGCAGGTCAGGGGGCTTCTCCGCCCGCTCCGCTCGCTCTCTCCCTCCGCGCCCTCGCTCCGCCCGTCCCGGCGGCACCTCGGCCGTCCTGGCGGCGCCCCATCCGTCCCGACGGCGTGCCCTTCCGTCCCTGCGACGCTCTGCCCGTCCCGGAGGCGCCACGGCCGTACCGACGGCGCCCCTTCCGTCCCTGCGACGCTCCGTCCGTCCCGGGGGCGCCCCGGCCGTCCCGGCTGCGCACCACTCGCAACACTCGCTACCAGATGCGTGTGGCACCGGGAGACACTCCCTGATGCTCCTTTGTATAGTTCTGAGATCTTCCCGAACCGACTTCATCGGTTTCTTTGCGCTCTTACTTTGTTAGTTAGCCTGAATCCAATTTGAGATAAGTACGCGTTCTGGCTTTTATTTTGTCACATGTTGTTGACTGGCAGTCCATATAACTGTGATGTGCGACTCCGTATTGGTATTGTCCTGCCAGCGAAGGTGCTGTGATGTTTCAGACTCAGTACCTTTTGGCCGCAAGGTATGGGCGTCGTGATGTTGTGTGATGTGATGTGATGATTCTGGCACCGTGTCGCCTTGATCCGTGGCTCCATAGTTACCGTGATCGGTACCCAATCTCGACGCTGTGACGTCGCTGACCCGTGCCGTGTTGGCGGTCGGTGCAGGCGAGGCGGCAGCGACCGCCGCCCTCTCGGAGCCGGCCCGCGCCGACGGGAACGTGGAGCGGGTCTCCACGCGCGCCTGGGCCGCCCAGAGCGACTACGAGCCGCGCAAGCTGTTCCGCAAGCTCTTCCACGACGACATCCAGTACCTGCTGACCATGGACAAGCTGTGGACCAAGCGTCGACCGCCCACGCCGCTCGTCTGGGACACGCTGCCAGATGCCGGTGAGCTGGGGCGGCGGCGGCGGCGGCGCGGCTTCGCCGACGCCGACTGCCAGCCGGTCGGGAAATAGCGTCCGCTTGTCGGCGGGGATGGCGCGGCAGCTTGAGGCTGCGACATCTCGCTCGATCTGCGCTGTTATCTGTCATCATTTGTGGATGGCAGTGAGCCACTGACCGCCTCCGACACGTGTCGACGTTCGGTCCCCGGGACGATGACGTCCGTTGGACCACCTCTTGAGCCGCCCCCGGCCGTGGCCTGCGCGGCGCGGCGGCCGGCTCTCGCACCGTCCGCTGACCGCCGGCTGGTGGGCCGCCAGTGGCCGGCAGCAGCAGCGGCAGCGGCGGCGGCGCCGACAGCGGTCTGGCCGACCAGCGGCTGTGGGCGCCGGCCGAGTGCGCGGCCGTGCTGCAGCGGTCCGTGGCCAGCCTGCGCCTCCAGCTGCGTCAGCGGCCCTGACGGCGGCCACCTGCTCTGGGACAAGGACGACGCCGACGCCATGGACTTCGTGGCCGCCTGCGCCAACCTGCGCGCCCACTGCTTCGGCATCGCCCTCAACACGCGCTTCACAATCAAATGTAGGTGGCTGGGCCGAGAGACGAGGTGCCCGGCCGGCTGGGTTGTTGGGGCACAGCTAGGAATGTCAGCCACCAGCCTTCTCGATGAGAAGGCTTGGTGGTTTAGGTCAGTACTGCGGTGGGGGTTTCGAGCGTAATTGTTAAGCGTTTGGATTGGGTTAAGCGTAGTACTCTGACCGAGTCTACTTGTGCTCGATGCCACAAGACATTGAAGCCAATGGGCCGTTCTGGAAAATACCTCGTCGTGGTTCTAAACTTGGTCTTTGAGTGCTCTGGTGTTCGGTGCTCCTTCGAAGGGCTCTGTTCGTCTAATGTCGTGAATTAGCCATGCGTGCATCACACCTTCGCCCGCCCAGAGCGGCGGCGCGGCCCTGGCTGGGCGCTACGCGGTGTAACTCCGGGTTATGCTGGAACACGTTGGCTGTCGTTTCAGCAATGGCCGGCAACATAATACCGGCCATCGCCACCACCAACGCCATCATCGCCGCCATGGTCGTGTTCGAGGCCTACAAACTGCTCGAGGACAGGTTCAAGGAGTGCAAAACGGTGCGTGCCCGACCGGGGTCTGCTGTTATTGCTGTCGTCATGATCGGTTGGCGGGCTGCAGGGCTGGCGCGGGGCCGGGTTATGACCAGTGCGCCACTATGGTATCAGCCAGTCCGGCGCGCCTAGGAATACCGGCACGTGGCGTCAAACCTGTGATGTGTCCCTCAGTCCGGAGAGCGTGCAGCGCATCCATCTCATCCAAAACCAGGACCTACTGCGGTGATTGCTTTCGCACGCAGCGTATATTCACTCCGAAAAAGAAAACGTCAAAAGTTTTAGTTGGGATAGTTGAATGGCATGCCAGGCACGGCGGTGCTGCCCTTCGCCGTACCTGCTGTACCGTACCTGCCGTACCGGTGCTGCCCCTCGCCGTATTTGCCATACCGGTGCTGCCCCTCGCCGTACCTGCTGTACCTACCGTACCGGTCAGCCGTCTGTACGGACGGTGCTGACCCGCCGCCCGTCTGTCCAGGTGTACCTGAACCGGCAGCCAAACGCCCGCCGCCGACTAGCTGGTGCCCTGCGAGCTGGTCAAGCCAAACCCCAAGTGTTACGTCTGCGCCGAGAAGCCAGAGGTCGGTGCTGCCTCCGGTGTCCGGCGTCGGTCGGCGGTGTCCGAGAACACTGTCGCTGACACTGCCCGGCGCTGGGCTCGGGCATATGGACGATATAATATTCTGACACGACATTTATTTTAGGCATGTCATTTTCAGCAGTTAAGAGTTGCGAAAGTTCCCGGTGACTGCTCGTAATTATGCGATTATGGCGTCTGTGGGGTTCATTGGAGGCAGTCCATATTTTGACGTACCGTGCTTTGGTCCCGGCGTATGCTCCGGTGCGACATGTCTGTTGTCACAGTGGCCTGTGATGGTCCTGTTACCTCGCCCCTGTCCGATCACCTGCCCCTGTCCGTTATCTGACCCGTCCCGGTCCCTGACCGTGTCTCGTCTGACCCTGTCCCGGTCACCGACCGTGTCCGGTATCTGACCCCTGTCTGGTCACCTGACCCGTGTCCGGTTATCTGACCATGTCCCGTCACCTGCCCGCTCTGGTATCTGACCCCGGTCACCTGACCCGTGTCTCGGTTATCTGACCCATGTCCCGGTCACCTGATCTCGGTATCCGCCCGTCACCTGACCGGTCCGTTCTCTAACCTGTCCCGGCCACCTGATCTCGGTCCGGTTATCTGACCTTGTCCTGGTCACCCGACCCGTGTCTCGGTTATCTGACCCATGTCCCGGTCCCTCACCGTGTCCGGTTATCTGACCCTCCGGCCGGTCCCGGTATCTGACCCCTGTCCCGGCCACCCGATCTCGGTCCCGGTTTCTGACTGTCTGTACCGACCCGTGCCCGACTACCACCCGCCCCGTCCCGACCTGTCGGTCCCGGACCGTGTCCGTCATCTGACCCGTGTCCCGGTTATCACCGGTCTGACCTGACCGTTCCGACTACCTGACCCTGTCCGCCCTACCCGGTGGTCGTCAGGTGTCGGTGCGGCTGGACGTGACGCAGATGACGGCGCGCGCGCTGGAGGAGCGCGTGCTGAAGGCGGCGCTGAGCATGGTGGCGCCGGACGCCGAGCTGCTGGACGGGCGCGGTACGATCCTGCTCTCCTCGGAGGCCGGCGAGACGGACGCCACCGCCGGCCGCACGCTGGCGGAGCTGGGCGTCGCGGACGGCGCGCGGCTCCGCTGCGACGACTTCCTGCAGAACTACGAGCTCATCGTCAACGTCGTGCACTGGTGAGCGGGCGGCGAGGTGGGCGCCGGGCGCCCGGCGCCTGCGGCCGGACATGAGCCGAAGGTGACGCTGTCAGGTCCAGTATGGTGGAGCTGGTGACGGACGGAAGCGACTCTGACGAGGACAAGGGGCTGACGAGGCTGGGGTTGGCCGGTGGGCTTGTGTGGGTTTGGTGGGGCCGGACGCTTTCCGTGATCGCACACTGCAGTCCGGTAGTGCGTGTGGTAGACCCGGACCACCGCTGGGGAGGCGGTCTGGCGCCGAACGGCCCGCGGTCAGTCAAAGGTCCGTGCCGTGGGAGCTCTGTGAATTCTGTGACTGCCCTACACGCTCCACGTCACAGCCGGTGCCCGGTGCCCTCGCCCGGCCGACTTTGACGGCGTCACCCTCTTGGCAGTACTGACCTGGAGGAGGGGCAGGAGTTCGAGGTGGTGGGCGACCCGGACCAGCTGCGGCCGAGCGACGCCGCCGAGCCGGCGCCCTCCGCCTCCACCTCCGCCTCAGCCAACGGCGGCAGCGGCGGCGCAGGTACGGCGCGCGGGCGTGCCCCGTGTAGGCGATGGGATCGTGTCTGTACGCGGCCGCGGACGGTCAGGAGATGAGCCGGCGGGGAGAGGGACGGGACAAAACCGAACCCTGAGCCCGAGAAGGTGCCGGATCCGACCCACCTCGTGCACGCCCCAGCCAGCGTGCTGATCTGCCATTCGGGGCAGGTCATCCCCCGAACGTGGTCTGGTTCGCAGGGCTCCTCTGCGCGCTCCTGCGAACTGGTCCAACACTAGGAGTTTACTCCACTTGCTCTAGACAACGCATGGGTTTGCGAACATGGACGCCCGTCGCGGACAGCTGTGTTACACGCGCGCAACGATTGCCGGAGATAAGTAAACCATGACGCGCACGACCCGCCGCGTGGATAATACAGTTCTTTCCATCCCCCAGCTGAGCAGTTTGGCGCCTCTGATCGGTTTGGTCGGCGTGCGCTCCCCCGGTCAGCGTAGTTACATGGGTTCGATCGCGCCTGCTCTCCTCCCTGCGGTCGTGTGACCGCCTCCGTGAAGGGACCGAGGCGCCGGCCCGCTCCAGTCTGTGTCCAGCCGACAGTGTGGCGGTGATCACCCAGGTGTGATGACCGCGGCCCGCCTTCCAGGTCTGCCGGCCGAGCAGGTCGACGACGACGACGACCTGGTGTGTCTCTCCAATGACGAGGAGGAGGAGGAGGATGGGCGCCTGGCCGACGGCAAACGGTCGGCGTCCTCAGACCTGGCCACGCCGCCGGCCAAGAAGCGGCGGGCGCTCGAGGGCAGCCCCGACCCGGCCGAACCGGACGTCATCGAGCTGTAGACGCTGCACGGCTGGACGCGCCGCCTCGACTCCGCCCAGCTCTTAACCGCGCTCAGTCTGACCTCGCCAAGCTCTAAACCTCGCCCAGCTCAAAACCCGCGCTCAGTCTGACCTCACCCAGCTCCAAACTGCGCTCAGTCTGACCTCGCCAACCTCTAAACCTCGCCCAGCTCAAAACCGCGCTCAGTCTGATCTCACCCAGCTTGAAGCCGCGCTCAGTCTGACCTCACCCAGCTCTAAACGACCTGACCCAGCTCCAAGCCGCGCTCAGTCTGGACCTCATCCAGCTCGAAACCGCGTTCAGTCTGACTTCACCCAGCTCTAAACCGCGCTCAGTCTGACCTCGCCTAGCTCTTAACCGTGCTCAGTCTGACCTGACCCAGCTCTGAGTCGCGCTCGCCTGAAACTCACCTCTGAGCCGCGCTGAGTCGGAGCTCGCCCCTCCCAGCTCTAAGCGCACCCAGGCAGGTCTTACCCAGCTCTGAACGGTGCCGAGCAAGCACCTCGGATGGAACTGGCCCGCTCCAGACCGTGTTGGACCATGGACCATGCGCATCTCTGAGTCGTGCTCCGCAGGACATTACCCAGCTCTGAGCCGCGCTCGGTCCAGCTCAGCGAACCAGCCGTGTACCCGCGCGTGGCGGAGTCAGCCGCGTCAGCCCCTCTGTCTGCGTGTGCTGGTGCGCGGCGGCCGCTGAGCGCGGCGGCGAGTCCGGACGCGGCGGGAGCTGGGCGCGGGGCGCCGTTCACTGCCACCAGGCGGCAGCACCTGCCTCGCCCGACGTTCAGCACTGGATGTGCTGTCACGTCCTGTGGTGGCCTGTTCCATATTGGTATCGGCTGTTCGAATTCCGTCATCACTATTGTGTGTTTCTATATGTGCCCGGCCGGACTGCTCTGTCCCAGGCAGCGTGTCATTGTTGGAATACAGACCACCTTTCATATGAGGCGTGTGCGTGGAGGGGTAGTATGCTCCGATAAGCCACAAACTGACGAGAGTCGTTGGAGCTGGTTTAGAGCGCGGCGCGAAGAGATTCGTCCGCGTTGGCTCAGAGCGTGGTGCGAGGACGTTCGTCTGCGTTGGCGCAGAGCGTGGTATGAAGGCCTTCGTCTGCGTTGGCGCGGAGCGTGGTGCGAAGAGGTTCGTCTGCATTGGCCCAGAGCGTGGTGCGAAGAGGTCCGACTGCGTTGGCTCAGAGCGTGGTGCGAGGAGGTTCGTCTGCATTGGCTCAGAGCGTGGTGTGAAGACCTTCGTCTGCGTTGGTGCGGAGCGTGGTTTGAAGGCCTTCGTCTGCGTTGGCTCAGAGCGTGGTGCGAGGAGGTTCGTCTGCGTTGGCTCAGAGCGTGGTGCGGGGAGGTTCGTCTGCGTTAGCTCAGAGCGTGGTGCGAGGAGGTTCGTCTGCGTTGGCGCAGAGCGTGGTGTGAAGGCCTTCGTCTGCGTTGGCCCCGAGCGTGGTGCGAAGAGCTCCGTGTGCGTTGGCTCAGAGCGTGGTGCGAAGACCTTCGTCTGCATTGGCCTAGAGCGTGGTGCGAAGAGCTCCGTGTGCGTTGGCTCAAAGCGTGGTGCTAACCCAAGTTCCTGCGACGCGAGGCATGCACCGAGCGGTGAAATGGTGCTAGCGGTCGAGGCCTTTGGTCACGCAGCCAGCTGGGTGTCGGCACCGGCCCTCACGACACAACACGGCAAAAAGCTATGCCGATCCAAAGCTGTTCGAAAGGGCCCTTGATGTCCTTCCTTGCTAACCTTAGAGAAGCTGGCACTCTTGGCGTGTGTTCGGAGAAAACCAGAAAGTACCGATACTGCGAACGTGTGTCTGCAGCTCCCACGGGAGTTCGTGCTGTTCGATAATGTCGCCACATTGGTTGAAGTCGATCGCCCCGAGGTTTAAGGGTTGGCAACGTAACGGCTAAGTCGATCGCCAGACACGTCATATAAGGTCGACAAGACGCTATAGGTGACGCGCCGCCGCGGGGTTCGGAGCGCACCAGCACTGCCGCTGTGGAGGGACGCGGCGGACAAACTGAGCCGAGACCTGGCGGGTCGCGAACTCAGTTTCCAGCCCGCAACTTAGTGGTGTAACCAACAAGCATACAGTGAAGCTGATCTCAAACGACTATCCAAGGCTGGAGTATTGCTGGGACAGTCGAGCTTTGTTTTAGCGGCGTTTTGGCCCTGCCGGAATCAGTGATGGATCGGGTGTGACGAGGGATACCACGAAACAGCGGGAGCGGAGTTGGTGAAATAAGAATTTCATTTGGCAAATAGTCTTCCTTCCCCTGAGGCCGGAAGTCTGGAGACACGCCCGCAGACCCTGTCACTGCCAGGCGCGGGTGGAACGCGCTGCTAAATGGCAGGAGTGGCAGCAGTGGAGACGACGCCAGCGAACCCGCCGCAGCGCGCGGCGAGCAGCACGGCGGTCCGGCGGCCGCTCCTGGCCCGGCGACGCCGGCGGCGGCGGACACACTGATGGACCGACCAGCGCACCACACCGGCGGCCATCGGCCGGGACCGCGGGCAGGAGTCGCTGTCCAGAGCAGCCACGACAGCCCACGGCACCAGATGAGACCAGACCATACCAGACCACGCCGACCAGGTGACGTCCCGCAGCCGCCCGTCTGCCCCTGCGAGCTCCCTTCTCGCTGTCTAGCAGTGCGGCCGGATAAGCCACTGACCTAGGGGCCTACACCTGGCGCGCGGCGGGCCCCATCTCGACGTTCCCCTTGCCAGGCCGCGCCCGCGTCGGAGGTACGCGCCTGTGTATTGTCCCGACAGATACAGCCAATGGCTCGCCGCACGCGTCGCGACACTCACGGAACGAACACGGGTTGCGTGGAACACACTCACGTGACATTTCATGTACAAACGCCACTACGCCCCCGGATATGGTCGGCACTGACCGCCTGCCAATTAGTAGTGTCACAGATACATTGTGCTTTGCTACATCCCCATACATAGGTCGCTTAAAACATGCATACGTCTTTGGTCGTACAACATAAACATGGATATGTGAACGGCGAGCAGCTGGGTTAAGACAACGAACAAAGCCGGCCGGGAACGCGCATGGTAACCAAGAGATTCGGCGGACTAGAACTGAAGCGATAACAACAGCACAGGAGCGCCAGCAGTTCACTGTGCGCACAGGCGGCGGGCATATGCGGCAAGGTTTGGTCCAGATCGAGCTGTAATTGTGCGGCTCTTCTAGCCCAGGGCAGAAGGCCCTGACCCTGGCCCTTCTGGCAGCCGCCCCGCCGGGCGCCGGGCGGGCGCAGCCAGCCCGGTCTGGAGCGGGGCGGGGGAGCCGAGTCCGCCAGCTGTCAGACGGCCAGCCACAGCCCGAGGCGCAGCCGCGACAGGTCCACGCCTACGTGCACGCCTAACCCGCCGGCAGCTGCGCCGCGGCCGAGCCGACGCGTCGCTCCGATGACGTCACGATACGACACAGCGGAAGGTGCGCCGGCACGTGGACACACCGGACACCCAGAGACGACGGCCATGCACGGGGCGAAGACGGGCTCACCGGCCGCGTGGCCGCAGGCGCGTGGCTCCACCACCAGGTGGCAGCAGCGGGCCGGCCTCTGGCCACGGCCGACGGCCGGAGCCAAGCCCCGCTGCCGCCACCGACCGTACAAAACCCAGACGGCCTGTATACCTGAGTTGGTTTGGTGGGCGTGATAGGACGGCGGGGAGACGGCAGCCATGGAGGCAGGGCGCCCACCTCGGCCGTGCCGGGGCGGTCCGGCCAGCCGGCTCGGCGGGCGTCGCAGCCGAGCTCAGCTCTGAGTTAGCCGCTCTCGCAGTCCGTCCAGGGTCCCGGTCTACACGGCACATTGTTCCCGCCGACTGCGTCACCGGACCTCGCCGGCCGCCCGACCTCTCACTGCTTCACTACCGTCCCGGACCGGCAGACGGCCGCCGACCCGTCGGCCGTGCCGCGCTGCTGGGCCCGCTCAGACGGCCGGCCAGACTGCGAACCCTGAGCACCGGCCAGCGCCACGCTCGGGCTCACGCGGCGGCACCGCGAGTCCGGCGGCCCGCTGACGGCGGCCGGCCGGCGCCGCCGCTGCAGCCGCCACTCCTAGGACCTGAAGACGGGCGCCGAGTGGTCGTGCGCGGCGGCCGTCTGTCGGAGCGGCGTGCCACGTCGGATCTGATCCATCAGCGAGTGCCGCTGCCGCTGCGCCGCGTCGCCGGCCGAGAACGACGCGAAGCGCATCAGGGCGGGCGCGGCGCCGGCGCCGCGCCGACGCCGACGCCGCCGGCGGCCGCGGCCGCCGGGCAGGCCGGCCGGTGCTGCGCGGCCGTCAGCGAGCGCACCGCCTCCGAGACGCTGCGCTGCGGCCGCCAGCTGGCCGAGTGGCGGCGCAGCGGCGGCGCCGGCCGCTGCGTCTGCGAGTGGCAGCGACGCAGCCCGGCCGGCCGCGCCGCCGTCGCCGCCACCGAGTCTGCAACAGCGGGGGCCGGCGTCAGGCGACGACGACAGCACCGGCGCCGACACGCGGCCGCCCGGCCACCACCAGACAGACGCGCCGACACGCTGGTGGGGCTGTGCGCAAAGCCCATGACTCAGCACAATGCAAGGCGCAACGCGATGAAATTGAAAACATACAGGCCGGCAGCGAGTCACGCTGGTGCCCGAAGGGACATCCAGCAGGAGCGCCTGATGACGCCGAAGCGTTCGGGACGCAGAGGACCCTCGCTGCTGGCGTTCTCACCTCGAGGCGCCGCAATGGACATCGGCCGGCCGCTCTGCTGCCCGTCCGCAGATCCGTCGCAAAAGTTGTTTAGCACAAAATCAGGCGGCGGCGGAAAAGCTGGACCAAAGACGACAACAATCACATTCGGCGCACGGTGGGGCGGGCGCGGCGCGTGCCGACAGCTACAGCGGCCACCGCTCTACCGGGCCGCCCTGTCTCCGACGTGGATACCGAAACAAGCGGGCACAACAGGCGGCACGTGTATGCCATGCGGACGGGTGCAGGCCTGGGCAGGAGCATGCGCCTCCACCCCCTCCGAACGGTACGGGCCCGCCGTGCCAACCGGCGTCACTCAGACCGGCAGCAGTCTGTCAGGTCTTCCCGCCGGCAAGCCGCACACCGTACTCCCCCGTGGCGGTCTCAGGCGTCAGCTTGTGGGACGCACATAACGACAAAGCACGGGGCGAGCCCCGGCAACGCGTCGCACAAGCTGATGACGCAAGCTACCCCCAAATAACCGCGACAGCACTCGCGTAAACCAAACATAAAAAGGACAAAATATCCACAGCTGCCATTCCATGCGACTCTCGATTGCACAACAGAGCTATAAAATAGCAAAAACGGGCGCTGACTACCCGGACAAAACAGACAAAGCGATCCGGTTCGTCCCTGGCGGCCGGCGGTCCGGCGTACTGTGCGTACCGTCGGAGGGCTGCGCCGGCGCCACCGTGTGGACGCTGCTGTAGCCGCTGGAGGCCGAGCCGTCACTCTCGCAGCGTTCAAACTGGAGCAGAGCGCGGCGTGAGTGGCGTGTCATGACCCGGCGGCCCGACCGGCGGCGGCGGCGGCGGCGGCGGCGCAGGGGGGCCGGGCCGCCGGGCCCAGCTCCGGTGGGATCGGAGGGACATTGGAAGCCCGAGTACTGGCACACGGGCCGGCTCAGCTGGCAGCCGGGACACCAGGCTTATGATGGCGACGAGGAATAATGACACAGCGGGACTTTAGGGTGCACCACCTTCTGCGCACCGGCCAACATCGACACCGGTTCCGCGTCGAGGTCCCTCCAAGCCTTCTTTATGAGAGTCAACACAACTAACTACTCTTTTGCCATTAGCTAACGTACCCACATCACGTTCACAGGCGCTGACGCCACTCACGGCTCGACCACACACCAGTCCGCTGTCTTCGCAGCTGGCCGCCGGTGTGAGCGCGCCTCCCGCCGCCGCCCTCGCACCGCGCTGCACCGGCGGCGGCGCGGCGCTGCTCACCTTGGGCGGGCTGGAGTTGGTGGGCGTGGTCGGCGTCTCCGGCTCGGGCGTGTCGCCGCCCGGAGTGGGCGTGGTGCAGTCCTCCTTGGGCGCCTGCGCCGGCCCGCCCAGCTCGGCCGTGTTGGCGTACACGGGCTGCGGCACCACTGGGGAGCGGCGCACGCACCGTCAGCAAGCCCGCAAGCAGACACGGTCCGCCACACACAGAAGAGGGCGGCCAGCCCGCCCAGCGACCACGGGACATGCAGAAGCTAGGTCTCAGGATATATAGATGCAATACGGAAGACTCGCCTCCGTTAAAAGGTACAGGATTTCCAGCTATATCTCAATCTCTGATAGCGATGCCATGCAATGGATCGGCGAGCAATTCCATAGTTTTAAGATATGGTAAATGGGGGATAAATTGGATACATAACATCCAAAACTATGTGCATCTGAAACGGGTGGTGAGGAGCTCCTCCGAGAAATGCTACTTCACTTAGTTGAACGGCATATCATTGCAAGGGTGATTATGCCAGGGTGATAAACAGTCCCGGTAGTGCGCAGTTTCCTACCAGAACCCGGTCCCACCAAAACATGCGGTGTTGCCAGGGGAACAGGAAGACGTACCCAGCTGACGACGGGCGTGGTGCGCCCCCCCCCCCCCCCCCTCACCGGCCGCAGGTGGGTATCACCAGACACCCGATCCTCCGGGAAGAAGCTGCGGACGGTGACATTATACCCAGCTATGCCCGCGCACGGAAGTCACCAGACAGACGGCGGCACAGCCGGGCTCAGCGGTATGGTTCAGCTACACTCGCTGATGACCCCACTGACGCCAGCAGCCAGCAGCAGCAGCCGCCACAGCCCTGCGTCCTGATCGAGGTCAGTCCTGAGCGAGCCGTCTGAACGAGACAGTGTAAGCGTCCGACCGGGGCCCGACCACGGAAAGGCAGCTGAGGTTCCGTGGGCTGGCGGGTTGTGACGACCACCACGCCATTACATCTGGAGCAGCGCTGCAGCTGCTGGGCCAGCCACGGGAGCCGCGAGGTCCGGTCGTCGAGAGTCGGCCATCCCGGCCCCGTGCCCCGCCGCGTCGCGGTCAGCTTCGGCCCACTCGCTCACCCATGTCGGGCACCGCCAGGTTGAAGTCCGGCAGCTGCACGCTGGCCGGGCAGGCGTAGTGACTGTAGACCTTGGCCTTGGGCTTGGCGCGCGCGCGCTCGGACTTCACCGGCACCGGCGGCCGGTCGGCCAGCGGCCGCGGCGGCGCCGCAGCGGCCGCGGCAGCCGGCGCCGGCCGCGGCGCCAGGAAGGTGAGCGCGCCCAGCGACGGCCGCTGGTGCAGGCCGCCGCGCTCGTACGCTGCAACGGCCGCCGCGGACGTCAGCGCCGCGGGTCACGGCCACCGGGAACGGGGCACGAGCTTCGGCTCGAGGGCACTGGAGCGGCCGGCACAAGCTGCAGCGCACGGGCTCCGAATACGAAGGGCGACAGCTTAGCTCAGGGTTATACGAGTAGAGTTATTTGAGTATGGCACAATGGCTGGCAATGCCACTTGGAAGCCAGACCGACGACAGGGCTGCTGACCCGACGTTGCATGTCTACACCACGCAAAATCCCACCAAAACAGCTCAGGGTGACCGACAACAACCGACTGCTTGGCGAACACTGTGAGCCGCCGTCTGCAGTCCCACGACAGACCAGCAGCGAACACCGTGAGCCGCCGTCTGCAGTCCCACGACAGACCCGCAGCGAACACTGAGCCGCCGTCTGCAGTCCCACGACAGACCCGCAGCGAACACTGTGAGCCGCCGTCTGCGGTCCCACGACAGACCCGCAGCGAACACTGAGCCGCCGTCTGCGGTCCCGCGACAGACCAGCAGCGAGCACTGTGAGCCGCCGTCTGCAGTCCCATGACAGACCCGCAGCGAACACTGTGAGCCGCCGTCTGCAGTCCCACGACAGACCCGCAGCGAACACTGTGAGCCGCCGTCTGCGGTCCCGCGACAGACCAGCAGCGAACACTGTGAGCCACCGTCTGCAGTCCCACGACAGACCGGCAGCGTTACACGGGGTCACAACTCCTGACCAGCTGCGGCAGAGGCCGGGCCGGTTCGCTGCCACTGACCTGATGAGATGGTGTGCGGTCGCTCGGTCGCCGGCGGCAGCGGCGGGCGCGCCGGCGAGCGGGGCGGCGGCCGGCGGCGGCGGCGTGGCCGGCCGCACGAACAGCGCGTCCTGCGAGGTGAACCCCGAGTCGCGCGAGACGACGCTGGCCAGCCGCTGGGTGGCGGCCGGCGCCGCCTGGCTGAGTGAGCGCGGTCGGGCCGGCGCCACCGCCGCCGCCGTCGCCGTGCCGCCCGAGCTGGACGAGTTCAGGCTGGCCACCGAGCAGACGGACGACTTCCGCGAGCCCAGCGACGAGCTGGGGCAGGGCGAGCCGGGCACCGAGCCGGCCGCCGAGCCGGGCGTCGAGCTGGGCGTCGAGTCGAGCCGCCACGCCTCGCTCACGCCTCGCATGTCCGTGATCACCTGCCGCGCCGCCGGACACGTCAGCGCCAGGGTCGAGACGGCGGGCCGCCTGCGTCTTCTGGTCAATATCAGACACATCAGACACCGATTGAGCGCGGCGAGCAGAGCACGAGCTGGAGGCGTCTTTCTACGGCGAAGTCCTTCAAGCCGAGTTCAACAAGCCCGTGCGTGGATACCAACCAATGAGGCCTGCCAAAATGACACGTTTCTTGACGGTGCGGGCTGCAAAGGCAGTCGGCAGCTTGTCGTGGCCGGCGCCACCTCGCCTTCCCCACCGGACATTGATTACAGCCCGGAAGACTGCCAAGCGGCGGGGAGCCAACCAAGTGAACGGCTGGTCATCAGCCAGGGCAGGTCGCAGCAGCAGCCAGCCTCTGGCACCGTCGCCCCTGTTCATCCAGCGCGGCTGATGAACGCGCAGGTCTTCCACCGCCGCGCGTGTGAGGAGGGTGCGCACAACACGCCCACAGTCCGCCGGACCGCTAGCGGCCGCCCGGCAGCTGGCACCAACACACACGGAAGGCCCGGACCCACATGTAAACAGCCATCAGCAGGTATCCGTATTATATCGACCGGATGCACCCCACGGTTACCAAATGCCGCAGCTCCGCCCCGGCGTCGGCGCGGGCCGGCGCGTCAGGCGGCGCCGACCGGTGACCAGCGCGCGTGCTCACCTGTTCGGAGGCGGCCGGCAGGGTGAGCGCGTCGGTCGTGTTCTGTTCCAGCTGGCTCATGACCTCGGACAGGTGCACCATCTCACCGATCACGGCCACTTCCCCCTGCTGCGGACAGACAGTGGCCATCGCTGTCAGAGAGCAGGCCTCTCCCTCCGGCGACGACGACCACGGCATCCTCATTCACAGCCTGCGGTGGGGCTTGGCGGAACCGAGGCGGAGCGGCTCCACACAAAGCCCACAGGCCGCCAAAACGATTGATCTCTACATCAACACCACACACCTCTCACCTGTCGCAATCACACCCTCTCATGTTGGCATACGAAACATCCGGACGGCAGACATCACAACCAGGTAACTCTTCGGCCAGCACTAACCGCTCGGAAATGTGCTATTCCCCCAGGACACTTCGCCGTCAGTCCCAGCCCAAACTCCCCACGCGTACCGCTCGACAGCATGGTCCACACAATTACCGAACATCCCTCCCCGGCATTCTCGCATCGAACGGCCGCAGTAGGTTAGTTATTTGGGCTGCGGGACGCGGCGACACAACGGTCATTTTCACATGACAGCAGACCGATAAGAAACGATAAACGCTCCTTGTTAACGCCCGCGGCACGTCTATGTTGTCATGTGGTGATTATCGCTGCGGAACATTTACGGTTCATTTCTTTTGCGGGCTCCCATGTGACTAGTACACATTCGCATCCAATCACACACAGATGAGAAAGATATCAAAGAAAAAAAGCACATCAGTATTCGTATGTTGGAAATCACAATGAGTTCAAGAGGCCGCTTAGAACCGGCCACACATTCGTGTCCTATTACGTGCCCTTAATCGTTCATCGTTGGGGGGGGGGGGGGTGTGGATGTTCTATTTAAGGTCGATACACCTGCTTTCGGTCTGCGATGAACGTCACGCGATAGGGGGTGAAATTGTTGGGAAGTGCTTTACACAGATACACTCCTGAACTTCAGCTATGTTCGAAAATCGAATACAGACGTATCCATCCACCTGAGAAGAGAGAGAGAGCGGAGCGAGAGCGAGGCAAGAGCGAAAGCGAGAAAGCGAGAAAGCGAGAGAGCGAGAGCGAGAAAGCGAGAGAGCGAGAGAGCGAGAGAGAGAGAGAGAGAGAGAGAGAGAGAGAGAGAGAGAGAGAGAGAGAGAGAGAGAGAAGAGAGAGAGAGAGAGAGAGAGAGAGAGAGAGAGAGAGAGAGAGAGGAGAGAGAGAGAGAAGAGAGAGAGAGAGAGAGAGAGAGAGAAGAGAGAGAGAGAGAGAGATAGAGAGAGAGAGAGAGAGAGAGAGAGAGAGAGAGAGAGAGAGAGAGAAGAGAGAGAGAGAGAGAGAGAGAGAGAGAGAGAGAGAGAGAGAGAGAGAGAGAGAGAGAGAGAGAGAGAGAGAGAGAGAGAGAGAGAGAGAGAAGGAGAGAAGAAGAGAGGAGAGAGAGAGAGAGAGAGAGAGGAGATGAGAGAAGAGAGAGAGAGAGAGAGAGAGAGAGAGAGAGAGAGAGAGAGAGAGAGAGAGAGAGAGAGAGAGAGAGAGAGAGAGAAGAGAGAGAGAGAGAGAGAGAGAGAGAGAGAGAGAGAGAGAGAGAGAGAGAGGAGAGAGAGAGAGAGAGGAGAGAGAGAGAGAGAGAGAGAGAGAGAGAGAGAGAGAGAGGAGAGAGAGAGAGAGAGAGAGAGAGAGAGAGAGAGAGAGGAGAGAGAGAGAGAGAGAGAGAGAGATGAGAGAGGGTGTACATGAGGGGCCTGATGATCTTGGGTAGATCTTGACGCCAGAGCGGGACCATTGCACGGGAACAAACGGTCATGACCCACGCCTGGTTTGAACCACCGGTTCCAGCTAATGAAAGCTCTGTGTACTGCCGGCGTGATACTGTGTCTGGCGCCGTCGGCGTGTTTGTGACATACACCTACAGGCTTCGAGCGGGCTGACCATCACAGCCCCCCGTTCACGATCAGCACATGAGCTCCGCCTGTCGGTACCAGTCGCGTCGGAGCCGGTAGAAGCCCGGCACACGCGCCCACACGACACGTGCCAAGCAGGACGCCGACGTCGTCACGTACGCCGGCGCCACATGGCACGTGCCAAGCGGGACGCGACGGTCGTCACGTACGCCGGCGCCACACGACACGTGCCAAGCGGGCCGCGACGTCGATCACGTACGCCGGCGCAACACGGCACGTGCCAGCGGGGACGCGGACGTCGTCACGTACGTCCGGCGCCACACGAACCGTGCCAAGCGTGGACGCGACTCCGTCCACGTACGGCCGGCCCACCACGACACGTGTCCAGCGGGACGCGACGTCGTCACGTACGCTCCGGCGCCACACGGCACGTGCCCAAGCGGGACGTGACGTCGTCACGCACGCGGCCGTACGTCTTCGACCCACCGGCGCCCGGCCGGCGGGGTGCCGCGGCGGCGCGCGGCCCCGTCCAGTGGCGTCGCCCGCCAGCTGCAGCGTCACGCCCCGGCCGGCCCGGCCGGCAGGGTGCCGCGGCGGCGCGCGGACCTGTTCAGTGGCTTCGCCGCCAGCCGCAGCCTCACGCCCTGGGCGGCTCGGCGCGTAACTCAGCACGCGCCCGTCCTCGCTGGGCGGTGCCCTGGGGAAGTGCGGGCGGAGCGGAGGGCCAGGGGGTGCGTTGGCAGGGCGGGCCTGGGCTCAGCGTCTGACCACCGCCGCGGCCGTCACAGCTAGCAGACGTGGCTCACAGCCGCACGTTACTGAACTGAAAACGCCCCAAGCTCTAAGCGACACCGAAGATCAGAAGTTGCTCAGGTTGAAGTCATTAAGGCAAACTTACAAGGATCAGGAAGCATAACTGGATTCCATCTGCTGTGATCCACGATCCCCCCTAGTCTCCCCATGTCACACATCTCCCTAACAAACCGGCCGGCGTGCGTCGGTGATAACCAGGTCACATGGACCGCCGACAAACGGGCCACGGCGCCGGGATTAGCCGGCGCCTGCGCCCCGGCCCGGCCGCTGAACGACAACTTCCGTAAACTCCGGAACGCATCACGGCCCCCACAGCCGTACTCAGCGGCAGACGGGGGGCTGACCGAGCGCTGCCTCCGAGAACGGGCCGTCAATTTTCGTGGAAACGTCTGAATATTCAGCATTCCGGTACCGGACGAGCGGATACTTTGCCGTCCAATCTATCGCCGCCAGACTGAGCTGATAAGTCGGGCACCCCGCAGCTACCCCGGCGACGGAGCACACAGCGTCAGCGAGTCCCGGACGCCGGGGGCTGCCCAAACCTGACGGATTCGGACACGGCGTGCGTGAGCGATAGGACAGCCCGAGCACCCCGAGCGATAGGAACCGGCCGAGCGCCTGAGCGATCTGGCATGTGCGCACCTTGACCGGCGCGTTACCACGGGCGGCCGCGGCGCCGCTGACGCTGCCCGGCGCCGGCCGGCACACGCATCGATCTCGTGGTCACGTGCTGCCGTCTCCGGCGGCCGACCGTCAATACGGGCCGGCTCAGCCGGTCACGTGCTCGCCCACCGTACGGCGGCCGCGCACGCGAGCGCGCACACGCGCAAACGCACACGCATGCAGGGAAAGGGGTCGGACGCGGGATGCCACGCGATCGGTGCTGGGGCAGCCAACCGTGCTGTTCAAAATAGCGCAACAAAGCCCGGAAGTAGGAAATACACACAGTTGTCCCTCCCTCGAGAGCCGGCGCTTTGCTCATGGCGGTGTCACGACTCGGAGACAGTCGGCGAGTAGAGCGGCAGCGACAGCAGGGCGTCCAGCTCTCGTCAGCGGCAGCAGGTCGTCCCAGCTCTCGTCATAGAGGCCCGCCACTCTCGTCTAAGGGGTCCAGCTCTTGCGGCGACAGCAGGGTGTCCCAGCTCCGTCTAGGCCGTCCCAGCTCTCGTCAGCGACAGCAGGATGTCCCAGCTCTCGCAGCGACAGCAGTGTCCCACTCTTGTTTAGTCAGCTCTCGGTGCCTGATCATTGCACCATCCGCTTCTTCCACCTTCAACCGGGTGGGACAGTCGCCCACGTGCGCCGGACGGAGGAGAGAGGTGTGGTGATGATGATAATGTGTGTGTGGGAGGGGGGGGGGCAAAAGACAGTGCTAGCTCAGCGAGACGTCTCCATGAGTGTCATCCTACAGACATCTGCGGTGG